ATGGTGGACAGGGACACGTTTGGGCGAGAACTTTGGTGCCCAGTAACAGAAAGGTTTGAAACAGATATTTTGAAATGCATGTCAAGAATGGGTTAATGTTAATGATGTGCTGAATATAATTACATCTTCCTTGTTTAGGACGGCCTATTATAAAAGATGTGTTAGGCATGATTACATTTGTATAAGGCTAATTCATCAAATTAAACTTACCATTAAAACAGTGAAGCCAAGTCCCTCCTTTAAGTAAGCCGTTTTCTATGGATAAGGATAGCTTCGTTTTCTCTGAAACTCGAATTACGGATAGACTATTTGAATTAATGGTGATGATTGTATTGAAGTGGTAAATATTGTAGTCAGTTTTATAGCAGGAGATCATCCATAATTTTCATAATTTTCATGAGTGTAAAAACTGTACGTTAGTCTTTGTTTTTAAACAATAAAAATGATTCGGATGAAAATAAAAATTACAGATTATTTATTACCTTCGTCGCGTTGCGCTGCATAAATCATGTGTGTGTGTATACATTTTTTTTTCTTTTTGGTACACACCACGTTACTTGTATTATTCCATGCTTCAGTTGTTCTGGGATGTTTCCCTACGGATAGCCATTATGCATAGTGTAATCAAACCCACTCTATGCCAAGGTCTATAGAAATACCTATAAAGACCTTACCCTGTACCTGACCAGACACACAAAGTGCTGTACTTAAGTCAGCAGTTACATGTAATATATTTCTGGAATGCCATATACAAGCATTTTCTCTCTCTTCCTTTCCTTCATTTACTTCGTATCCTTTATTTATTCTTCTCTTAACATACATTAAAGAGTGTCAAGGTCACCTAAAAAAGAAAATAATTCCATCTCTAATAGCGTGACCATGGATTTGACCTCAGGCGAACCATCTACGTGGTCACGTCGACCTACCTGCGTACCAACCAGGTAGCAGAGATGGTCCAGCTGGCCCAGACCTTGATGCTCGTGCCAGACGTGTACTGGATAGTGACTGAGGACACCCGCTTGGATAACGAGTTCCTCCTGCTCGACGGGGATTCCGTTCACGTACCTGAAGAGTGAGTCTTTGGCGCGGGTAGTTAGTGTGGGTTAGTGTGAGGTTATGAAGGTATTGGTGTTTATGATAATGGTAACAGTGACAGTAATAATAATACTGATAATGATGATAATGATAATAACTAGAAGACACTCAGAGAGGTGGGTTAGTGTGAGATTATGAAGGTATTGATAAAGGTATTAGTGTTTATGATAATGGTAACAGTAACAGTAATAATAATACTGATAATGATAATAACTAAAAGACACTCAGAGAGGTGGGTTAGTGTGAAAGGATAAAGGTATTGGTGTTTACGATAATGATAACAGTAACAGTAATAATGATACTGATAATGATGATAATGATAATAACTAGAAGACACTCAGGAGAGGTGGGTTAGTGTGAAATGAAAGGATTGGTGTTTTATGATAATGATAACAGTAACAGTAATAATAATACTGATAATGATGATAATGATAATAACTAGAAGCACTCAGAGTGGTATTAGTGTAAAATTATAAAGTATTGGTGTTTATGATAATGATAACAGTAACAGTAATAATAATACTGATAATGATAATAACTAGAAGCACTCGGAGTGGTGGGTTAGTGTGAAATTATAAAGGTATTGGTGTTTATGATAATGGTAACAGTAACAGTAATAATAATACTGATAATGATGATAATGATAATAACTAGAAGACACTCAGAGAGGTGGGTTAGTGTGAAATTATAAAGGTATTAGTGTTTATGATAATGATAACAGTAACAGTAATAATGATACTGATAATGATGATAATGATAATAACTAGAAGACACTCGGAGAGGTGGGTTAGGTGAGAGATGGAGGTATCATAGTGTTATGTAATGATAATAATGATATGATAATGTGATAATAATGATTAATAATGATTGATAATGGTAGATAAATAGATAATGGTGATAATAATGATAATGATGATAATAATAATGTTCATGATAATGATAATAACAATAATGATAGTGATGATAATAATAATTATGATAATGATAATAATGTTCATGATAATGATAATAACAGTAATAATGATATTGGTAATAGTAATAACAATAGTGATAATAATAACATTAATAGTGTTAATTATTCACATAAAAGAAAAATGAGTGTTGCTATGTAGTTTGCACATTCACGATTTAACTGAAAGTGTGTGGTGATGACGATGATCAACATCCTGGTGATAATGATGTTGATGATAATAATAACAATAATAATGATAATGCTGATATTGATAATGATGATGATAATGATGACAACCATGATAATGATAATAATACTATTGATGATAATGATAATAGTAATAGTAGCAATAAAAATGACTGATGATAATGATAATCATGATTATGATAATAATAAAGATAGAAATAATGATATTGATGATAATACCCATAACAAGGCTAATTTAAAAATAATAATAATAGTAAAGATGTTCTTATTGATAACGTTATCTCTCTCTCTACTTCCTCTCCCACCCTCCTTCCATCCCTCTATCCCCTTCCCGTCCCCTTCCTCCCTTCCTCTCCTTATCCCCTTCCCATCCCCTTCCTCCCCCCCTCCCTCTCCTCCCTCCCTTCCTCCCTCCCATCCCCCCTTCCTCCCTTCCTCCCTCCCTCCCTCCTCCTCCCTCCCTCCCTCCTCCTTCTCCCTTCCTCCCTCCCTTCCTCCCTCCTCCCTCCCTCCCCCCCCTCCCTCCCTCCCTCCCCTTTCCTTCCCCTTCCAGCTCGTATGCCAAGAAGTTCCTCAACCTGGACAACTCCCCTCAGGATGCACCCGGTCGTCGCGCCGCCCTGGCTTGGATCCGCAAGAACGCCAAGATGGGGTGGTTCTACTTTTGCTGCTGATGGTAATGTTTATGACTAGGATTTTCGAAGAGGTGAGGAAGACGGAAGGAGAAAGAGGGGGAGGGGGAGGGGGAGGGAGGAGGAGGGAGGGAGGGAGGAGGGAGGGAGGAGGAGGGAGGGAGGGAGGAGGGGGAGGAGGAGGGAGGGAGGAGAAGGAGAGGAGGAGAGGGAGGAGGGAGGAGGAGGGAGGGAGGAGGAGGAGGGAGGGAGAGAGGGAGGGAGAGAGAGAGAGAGAGAGAGAGAGAGAGAGAGAGAGAGAGAGAGAGAGAGAGAGAGAGAGGAGAGAGAGAGATAAATATTTTTCGATATTAGTAGTAGAGAGATAGAAGAGAGGGAGGAAAGGGTGAGAGATAAAAAGGGGAGGAGGAGAGAAGTGACGGGGTTAGGAGAGAGAGAGAGAGAGAGAGAGAGAGAGATTAATCTTTTAGGTATTATGGAATTATGATTACAGATTGTTCATAGAGGGGTGACGGGGAAAAGAGAAAAAATGAAGAAGGGGAGAGAGACAGGAGAGAAGGAGAAGTGAAGGAGAGGGAGGGAGGAGAGACAAAAGAGGGGAGAGGAGGAGGGAGAGAGAGAGAGAGAGAGATAGATAGATAGACAGAGAGAGAAGAGGGGGGAGGAGAAAGAGACAGAGAGACTGAAGAGGAGGAGAAGGGTGGGAGAGAAAGAGAGAGAAGGACAGAAGAAGAGGGGAAAGGACGGGAGGGAAGGGAGGAGGAGAGAGAGAGACAAGAGGAGGAGAGGGAGGAGAGACAGAAAAGGATAATAATGGAGGGAGGGGAGAGAGAGATAGAAGAGAGGGGAAAAGGTGAGAGGCGACGGGAAAGGGGAAGGGAGATAGAAAATGCTCAGAGAGGGAGAATGAGGGAGACAAGAGTAGGAGGGAGAGGGGAAGAAGGGAGGGAGGAGAGAAGAAAGCAAAGGGGGAGAGAGACAGAACAGGTGGTTGAGAGGGAGGGGGGAATGTGTAAGAGACGTAAGAGAGGAAGAAGAGAGAGAGAGAGAGATAGAAGAGGGAGCCAGATAAGGAGAGAAAGATAATAGCAAAAACAATAATAATAATGACATCAATAATGGCGATAACGGTAATAATAAGGAAATAATGATGATAACAATAATGAAATACTTATAATAGTAATCATGATGATAGTCATAAGAATTGTTATGAGGATAATAATGATTGCAATAGGAATAGTAAAAATAATAATGATAATGATAATAATAATAATTATTATTATCATCATAATACTAAAAGTCTTGATTATAATGAAAGTCAAATATGAAAGGATAACAATAATAGTAATGATAATGATAAAAATAACATAAAAATGGTAATTATAGTAATAATGATGAATAGAGTAATTATAATTATGATAACAAAAACAACTACAATAATGTTGATAATGATGATACAGTGATAATGATAATAATAATGATAACATCAAACGTAAAAAAATCGACAATAATAATAATGAAATATAACTTTATATAGTTTTTTTTTTTAATCCCCGTTTCCTTGTTATATATATATATATATATATATATATATATATATATATATATATATATATATATATATATATATATATATATATATATATATATATATATATATATATATATATATATATATAATATATATATATATATATATATATATATATATATATATATATATATATATATATATATATATATATATATATATATATATATATATATATATATATATATATATATATATATATATTATATATATATATATATATATATATATATATATATATATATATATATATATATATATATATATATATATATATATATATATATATATATATATATATATATATATATATTTTTTTATATTTTTTTTTTTTTTTATTCATTAATACTTTTCCTCCCGCAGATTCGCTCAACGAGAGGCGTGTCTGTCTTCCCCGTTGGCTTAGCGAAGGACCTGCAGCTGTCGACGCCCGTGGTGAAGGAAGGGCGGTTCTCCGGCTGGTACGATGACTTCGAGGGCGACTTGCAGTTCCCCGTCGAGTTTGCCGGGTTTGCCTTCTCGGTGGAGCTGCTGTTGAAAGTAAGGGGAACGGAGGGAGGGGGGAGTGTTGGAGGGGGAGGGAAGGAGGGAGGAAGAGGAGGGTTGGGGAAGAGAGAGAGGGGGAGGGAGATGGAGGGAGGAGAGAGAGAGGGTGGATGGAGGGGGAGGGTAGGTGGAGGATGGAGGAGGGAGGTGGTAGGGAAGGAAGGAGGAATGAATGAGAGAGATAGAGAGAGATAGAAAAGAGAAAAGTTAAAGAGAAAGCTAAAGAGAAAGAAAGGGAGAGAGTTGAGAGAAAGAGAGATGGGATGGAATAAGGGAAGAGGGTTAGAGATAAAGAGGGAAGGAAGAGGAAGGAGGAACGAGGAAGAGGAAAGAGAAGAGAAAGAGGGAGAGAACAGGAGAGAAAGAAGAAAATAAAAGGGAATTAGAAGAGGGAAAGAGGGAAGATGAAGGGAGGGAGGAGGAGAAGGAGGAGGAAGAAGAGCGGAAACCATAAGGGGAAAGACAAGTAACCCGATGCCAGATATACTCAAAACAGGTAGACCCTCTTCAGCTTTCATGATTTTCTGTTCCTCTTCCAGCGACCTCATGCCAACGTACATATATACTCAAAACAGGTAGACCCTCTTCAGATAATTTATATATTATATTTATTTATATATATATATTTATATTTATATATTTAAATATAAATTTATATAGTTAAATATAAATTTATATATTTATATTCATTTATATATATAATTTATATTTATTATTTCATAATAGGTCTTCCACGACCTCATGCCAACGTACCCTGGACGTATGACCTCCAGGAAGAGGGTCTTCTCAGGGGTTTAGGCGTCCCACCCGAAAAGATGGAGTGTAAGGCCGAACTCTGTACCAAGGTGAGATGACTTTGGCCTTGACTGGAGTTAATCATCAGTTATTACCCATCAGGATAGGAAGAATTTATAAAGAATTGCAAATCGAGTAGTACATTTGCAAAGTTGAATTCAATCGCAGACGTTATGATTGTAAATAAGCTACAGACCATCTTAATTAATCCGAAGCCTAGATTCGATCAACGCATTCGCACGGTTTGCGGTAATGGCGGCAACTAACTCACGCCCCCAATATCAACAAAAATTTCATACTCATTCGCAGGTATTTGTGTGGCATGTGGAATCAAAAATACCCAACCCAGTGACCAGGTATCTGTGTGACACTCGCTACGACGGCACCAATCTACGGGTACTGGAGAAACAGGTGGTGATTGAAGGGAAAGCATGTTATTATGGCCCTCCGCTCCAATGACGAAGGGAAAATCAGAAATGAAGATTAATTATTTTTTTTTATATAATAAATGCGTTAGATATATTTACTGGTTATTACCCTCATATGTTAGTTTTGAAGTGGAATTGTGAAGTGTGTTTGAGCGTTTTTGGTTCTTATTTATGTTATGTATTTCTGTCCACAGAGAGAGAGAGAGAGAGAAAGATGCATTTTTCAGGATTATTATTATTATTATTTTATTTATTTATTTATTTATTTATTTTTTTTGAGAGAGAGAGATATGCATATTTTCAAGATTTTATTTCTAAAGTTTGCTTCTCAATTGACGCTTATTTATTGGAGAAAAGTGGATTTGGCAAGTTGGTGTGAAATGCAGCCAGGATATGCGGAGGATCACTTAATAAATGACATTCTGGTAAGATAAACAAAATTATTCAAAAGTGTTGCCATCAGACTATCAACACCAAACTCCCGAGCGCATTTTAATAACAATAATAACAAATAGTCTATCTCTCTCTCTCTCTCTCTCTCTCTCTCTCTCTCTCTCTCTCTCTCTCTCTCTCTCTCTCTCTCTCTCTCTCTCTCTCTCTCTCTCTCTCTCTCTCTCTCTCTCTCTCTCTCTTCTCAAAAAAAAAAAAAAAAAAAAAAAAAAAAAAAAAGGTTTAGTCCACTGGTGTATCGCACTGTTGCCAGATCCCAGATGTTCACTGGATATTTCTATATTATTTCTGTTGTTCAGCGGTAGTGTTCTCGTCTAACAATCTTGCTGACTCACGTTCTGCCAGTGGATGTTAACCTCAGCCATTCCTTGCACGGGGGTGGGGGGGGGGGGGGGGTAAATTAGAAACAAACAGACAAGAAATATTCATTGCAACAAATGTCCTCAAACAGACAACAAGAAATATCCATCGTAACAAATGAAATCAAACTAAATGATTCATTATTATCTATTTGAAATATTATTCAAGTCCCGTATTGCAAAATGAAAATCGTGGCATGGCATCACATGGAAGAACACATCGAAGCATTTTGTAAAGCTCATGTAACACTTGTACTTTTTCCATCATTTCGTTCTATTCCATCGTAGATATTGCGTTCATTGTAGTATTAACCTCAGCCTCGTGTTCCGTTTCGCAATCTGTAGCGCTACGAAGCAAGGTCTAAATAAGTACTTGTAATAGACTTTGCTAATGAGAAATTATAATAGACCTTGCGAAATAAGTACTTTCAATAGATCTTCATAAATAAGTACTTACATAGACTTTGCTAAATAAGTACTTATATAGACCATGCTAGATAAGTACTTGTAATAGACCTTGCTAAATTAATATTCATATAGACCTTGCTAAACAAGTGCTTACATAGACCTTGCCATGTAAGTCCTTTTCATATACCTTGCTAAATAAGTACTTATATAGACCTTGCTAAATTAGTACCTACATAGACCTTGCTAAATTAATACTTACATAGACCTTGCTAAATAAGTACTTATAATAGACCTTGCTAAATAAGTACTTATAATATGCCTTTTAATGCTAAATAAGTACTTATAATATGCCTTTTATAACAGACCTTGCTAATTAAGTACTCATAATAGACCTTTTATAATTTTACAAACACAGATATTGAAGGATGTCAAGGAATAACTTTCTGTGTGTATTCTGCCTCATGAACTTTTAAGATCAACGGATTGCTATTGTGCGCGACTTGACGTGTATTGTATAGCATTTTTTTTCTTTGTTTTTCTTTTTTTAAGATAAACATAGGAGTGTCAATAAGAAACACTAGAGCATGTTTTTTTTTTTTTTTTTTTTTTTTTTTTTTTTTTTTTTTTTTTTTGTCATAAGTCTAAGTGCTGGACTGATGATGGAAACAATGCTATATAAAGATAAATAGAAGACTGTTTTATATACTAGAACAAGAAAAGTCATGGTAAATGTGTTTTTTTATACTCAAAATTCAACACAAAACGCTCGTGTGAGTCAGTATTTAAATTTGAACGTCACCGTAGCGCGTTTTCTCTGTAACGAATAAAAGTATTACGTATTTTCCAACGGAACCCAAGGCAACTGTAACCTTAATGCCGGTAAACAGTGTATTTATTTACCCTGACTTGCGGTAAACAGTGTTTTCATTTACTCTGACTTGTTTGATATTCTATCCGTCTTGTAAGCACTTTCGTTCCTCTTTCTACAAACTGGCGTAACCACCAATTTGTCGACTTTGAGTTTTATGTGTATTTGGTATCAGTGTACCAATGCCTGATTTGTCTCAAATTTATGTGACCTAATTTCTACTCCATACTGAGATACAGCTTTTAGTATCATGACGTTGTTAGAGATTTTACAATTGTTGAAAAACTTTGAGCTCAATTTCTGTAAAAGTAACTTTTTTTTTGCACGATTTGGTGTCTCGTCTCTCGTTCTCTGACAGATATATATGCGGTGTCTCTTTTACTTAGTGAAATATGTTGATATACCTTCTGCTGACACGAATAAGGAAGAATATTAACATATATACCTGTATTTACTCAGATATCAGTGGCCAATATTATTGTTTTTATCATCAGATTATTAGCAGCAATATTTTTATCATTATAATTTTTCTTGTTATTATTACTACTGTTATTGATTTGATGTTTATGAAAATGAGATATTCTAGGGGCATCTTTTAATCCATATCCGGATGTGTATAGTCGTAATTAGAGAGAGAGAGAGAGAGAGAAGAGAGAGAGAGAGAGAGAGGGAGGGAGGGAGGGAGGAGGAGAGGAGGGAGGGAGAGAGAGAGAGAGAGAGAGAGAGAGAGAGAGAGAGAGAGAGAGAGAGAGAGAGAGAGAGAGAGAGAGAGAGAAGAGAGAGAGAGAGAGGGTAAAGCCAGACCTTGAGAGGAGCTAACAGAGACTTAGACATAAACAACCACCCCCCCCTCCCAGCACCCCCAATAAACACCCATGCCCTAACGGCGTCTGAAGCAATGCCAGGGTATAACACATGATGCCCAGGATGACCACAACATGCACCCGCACGGCATCCAAGCATAACGGCAGACAACAAACAAGCACAAGGTCATGACGACACAAAAGAACAGTGCGTTGGAAGATTCGTTAGATAAAAGACTTGACCGGAAATACTTTTTTTTTTTGAGTCCCTTATCCTTCCATTGTGGTGGAAGTGACCGGATTTCAAAGAACAAAACCGTTTTCACGTTAATAGAAAATGGTATTTATATACTGAATACAGACACATACGGAAAAAATAAATATAAAGAAGTATCTAGAGGAAATAGTTCAAAAGATATACAATGTTTTGCACAGAAAGATGAAACTAATGAGTAAGTACATGTTAAATACCACCAGTTACCTGTACAACTGACGACCCAAGGTCACAGGGACATGACCTATCCTAAGAGAAGAAAAATAAGTCACACGAGGTCACAGAAAGTAATCAAACATCACTTTATTATTCACACTCGCGAGACGTTGTGGCGTAACGTCCATTAATTCCCAAGACGTTTCTATTTTTCATTATTATTCAAGCTCTCTCGTTCTTGCAGTTCATTCCCTTGTTCAGGCTGAGTTGCATTGCGTTGCAGAAAAGGGTATGGATGAGAATGTACATCTTCACAATACAAGAGATGTATGTAATCGGTTTCGAAATTTATGGTGTATTTCTGACGAAGATACGTCCTCTTGTATGGTGAAAATAGTCATTCTAAATTCATGTTTTTTTTTTTTTTTTTTTTTTTTTTTTTTTTTTTTTTACATTTGTCAACAGGAATACAGTTCGTGTATTGTGTTATCTGCTGAATTAACGGATTGTTAAAATGGAGTGAAGTGTATTATACTTTTTCCTTTTTTTTCTGTTAATAAATCTGATAATTGCAATCGAAGAATTACTAAGAGGAAAATGTCGGCTAAGAAAAAATATAAAACACATGACCAATGACAGATGTAATAATAACAACAATAATAATAATAATAACAATAATAATGATAATGATAATCATGATAATAACAACAATAACAATAATAATAATGATAATAATAATAATGATGATGATGATGATGATGATAAAATAATAACAATAATAATAATAACAATAAATATAATGATAATGATAACAATGATAGCATCAATAATAATGTTGATAATAATAATAATAATAATAATAATAATAATTATAATAATTAACAACAATAATAATGATAATGATGATAATAATAAAAATGATGATGATAATAATGAAAATAACAATTATAATAATCATGATAATAATAATGACGATGCTGATGATGATGACGATGATAATGTTTTTGTTGTTGATGATGATCATCATAGTGATAACACTAATAATGATAATAATAATGATAGTAATAATAAGAAGGATAATAATCATTGGAATGATGTTAATAATAATTTTCATCATAACAATGATAATGACAGTGATAACCATAATGAGAAATTATATTGATAATAATAATAATAATATAATTAATATAATAATAATAATAATAATGATAATAATAATAATAATAATAATAATAATAATAATAATAATAATAAATA